TTCAACTGTTTTATTTAATGTGTAATAAAACTTTCAGCTTCTTCAGGTGAATAAAATTTAACACAACGTTTTCAAACGCACTTACAAACCACCGCTAGAGACTAGGGAAAGTATCTCGCTATTATCTGTTTAGCATTACTAAAATATAATATAACTGCAAATCAAAACACATAATTACTGCGTTAAGATTGCGTGAATACCTTGTGACGATAGGCAAATAAAATATTTACGTCACGCATTTTTTTAACTTTCAGAAAAGTAGTAGTCGTTATCCTACACTTAAATCTTATCTATAAACTTTTATAACTGAAAATCTTATGCTTATTAATTATCGTGCAAAATAGTGTTTCCAAATTTACCACATACAGTAATAAATAATCGATGTTGCATAATATTTTATCAAGATCGTTTTACAAATTGATACTTAAAGGATAAAAACTTATTTTTACACAGCTAATTTTCTTGGGAGTTTATTTTTTCAATCGTTATTAAGTTAGTTTAACAAACTCTACCAGGCGAGTTGTCTATTCTTTTTTTTTTTCCAAAAGAAACACAACTAAATACTTTCTTCACTCACCAACTTAGTTAAAGTAGAACCTTATACAAAACTCGCTCTGTTTTTTAATTATAGTACAATCTAAATAATTTCAAAAGTCAAAAGAGTGTATTCTATTAGAGCATGAAACCCACGTTGTCCTTGTAGTAGAACTCCGAATTTCGAAGCTGGCGAGCCTGGTTCGAAACCGAGTGATACCACAAAATATTTCCTGCACTTTAAACTGTAGGTGTGTATTATAAGGATGACAGTCAATTCATTAGAATGGATGGTGGGTGGTAGGGTACTGTTGACTGCAGATAGCCACGGTAGCTTTGCCATAAATACAAAACACAAATTCACTTGTTAGAACTGACACTTTATGCTCACGTGGGATAAGCGGCTATGTCAAAGATTTCTAGAGTTTAGGCACAGCTGTCCCTAAGTCGAAATACTGAGCGCAAGCAAGACAGCCAGTCACCAGATCTATTAATAACTGAATTCACTATCACATTCATATATCGCCCATAGCTGAAAGAGCGTGTTTAGCTACATCAGGTCTCGAACCCCATAACTTTCGATAAGCAGCCAAACACGCTAATTACTAGGCCACACCTAGCTCCTACTTGCTGTACATTGTTAAGACACTTGCTCAATGTTAAGACACTCTAATTTATTAAAAACTCGCATAAAATAGTAATGACTACCAAACGATGAAGTATCTGATATTTAGTATTCTCAGTTCTGGGAAGCAAAAATTCTTCTAGTTATCAGATATACTAGACAACTTTTTTTTTTAGTTTACAGAGAGGTAAAAAGATAGCACCTAAACACTATCAAAATATTGCTAAAAGAGCCCTTTCATCCTTCATAACCCAAAAGACATTCTAAATTTCAGAAAATTGTGGAAAAAATAAAATTTTCATCAAACATCCAACTAATTTGGAAGATTTTTTTTCATATGAAACACTCAAAGAATTTCTTGGTCTGTTTTGAATTTCGCGCAAAGCTACTCTAGCCGTCCCAAAATTAGCAGGGAAGGCAACTAGTCAACACCACTTACTGACAACTCTTGGGCTACTCTTTTTACCAACGAATAGTGGAATTGACCATCACATTACAATGCCCCACGAATGAAAGGGCGAACGGTGTGATGATTCGAACCCGCGGCCCTCAGATTGCGAGTTGAGCGCCCTAACCACCAGGACATTTAGAATTTCTTTCTGAAATGATTCCAATTTACGTTTAAAATGTGATTAAACAAATATAATTTGTTGTTTACTTATATGGAATTTAAAAGGTCTAGCCTTCAAAGGTTGCGTGTAAATACCATTAAGCCTTAGCGATAAGTCTGATATCTTATAACGCTAAAAGTAGGGTTTCGATACCGGCGGTGAGAAGAGCACAGATAGCTAGCTTATTGTGAATCTTTGCGCTTAACAACAAACAAACAAATTAAGCATTAGCATTTTATTATGTTAGTTCTGAATGAACTTTTCATTACATGATAAATAGTTTCTGTGATGAATGTAGATAGTTTGTCAGTTCAAAATTAGAGACAGTTAGTCTATATAACCTTTCAGTTACTGGGCGTGAACATCAGAAAATTAACACCTTATACGTTTAGATTTTGGCTAATATTAGAAGTAACTTCTCTGTAATTTAATACTGCATTTCATTTGAGAATAAATTATAGTATTTCTGTTATAACTTTTAACTGACAGACTAGAGGCAAAGCAATTAGTCAAAACTCCCCATCGCTACCTCTTAGGTTACTGTTGCCTGACCGAATAGTGGGATTTGACCGACATCCCAAAGTGCGGAGAGTAGGATTTTTTGATGTTGTTGTTGTTATTGCTGTAATGGGATATTACCGATATATCTTCAAATTCATAGTTCGCACGGACAAACGAACAAGGAGTGATGTAAAATAGCAGATTGCGTCATGAATTTCAGCTGGAAAGCTTTTAAAGTACGACTTGAAGCGCCGCATTTTGGAATTATACTGTAGTATTTCAATTTATTACAGAATATTTATACACAGTTGCAAAATTCATCTGATTTCCACTTCTATATTTTTTAGTCAGAGACTTAATGATTCGCTAAACAAAAACGTGTATAATGATTTATAGGTAGATAAAACATAAATAATTATTATTGAGCATGTCTATGTAAATTTTATTTCAGACATGTTTACAATATTTACAACATTAATACTTCGTATACGTGTTAATTATTTTCTATTTTGTAACATTTTTCTGCATTGAAATAAATTATTTTACATGAAATGCTAGCATTTATTTCCATGTAAAAATATTCCGTCATGTGGCGCCATCTATTACAATATCATGATGGAGTTTTTAGAAACGCCAAGAGAGGTCGCTATGATCTTTAGTATGGTTACGATACTAAATATTTATATAATGAAAGAACACGCTGTGATCAAAATCCAACTAGATATTATAAGTAGTAAAATCATTTTGTTTTGTTTTTATTTGAATTTACAACAAAAAGTAAACCTTCTTTAGATTTCAGATAAGGATATGATTCCTAGCACATATTGATTTCCTTATTTTATTTATAAAAGCTATTATGTATATATATATAATATATAGATTTGCTGAAACATGAAACATAGTCTTAATTAAGAAAAACAAATAGTACAGCTGATAAAGTGAATGAATTTAGAGAGTTATCCTGAAAACCTGGCAATTTAGTTTGTTCGTATAGTGTTTCTATAGCTAAGGCTAAAATGAAAATTAAAAACACAATGGAAAAGATTTTTCCTTTCCTCACTGATTATCATTCTGTTAAACTTTTTAACTTATTGAATTAAACGCGATTTTTTCCATTCGCCTGACTGGACTCTCTCTCAAGTGTATCATTTACGACATGAAATACGACATAGTGAAGCTAAAGCTTTTTGATATTTCATTCAGTTTCACAGATTTTTAGCCACAGAACTGACGATGTAACTTTGATCAGAGTTTAAAAAGCGCTGAAAACCACAGTGCCTTAAATTGGTTTCTGCGTTCATAAATCTCCACTAGGTGTTAGTTTTGTGTTGTTATTGATTTTATTAGGCTTGCTTGGAACAAAATAGTGAAGCATTTTTCGCAATGTATCTGAAAAGAAAAATGATAAATTCATAATATCAAATTCAGGCTTAATGATTAGAAATTCTTGGTGTTGATAGGTTCTGATTAGTGTTGAACAATATATATATATATATATATACTGACACAAGAAAGTAAGATAGGCCGGCAGTCTTGTGGATATATTATGTTCAATATCAACCATTCTATATTATGTCACACTAAACCAATTGCATTAGCAGAAATATTGTTGCATGGCAGACATTTTATGCATAAAACCCATGAAAATGTATATAGAAGCACAATACCAGCTAACTCAAGAATATGTACATGTTATTACAACCTCACATGTATAACCGTGTAAGAAAACAATATCTGTTCTTGTATGGATATATTTTGAAGAATTTATATTATAGAAAAAATACAAGTGTTAGTCGTACATCATCTGTGTAATTGGTGTATTTATTAGTTGTAATTATACGTGTTTGAGAAAAAGAAGCTGACAACATATTTTTGGTGTTGTTATTATCAACTTATAAGTACAGAAAAAAAATCGAAATTTTGTTCTTCAAAATGTAATATGTCTCTGTGTTTTTAAGAGTTCAACATAATAACGGTTTGTTGGTTTTACGAACTTAAAATGCTATTACGAATAAACTTGCAGTTAAAATTAATGATATTCTGATCAGTTTTTAACCAGTTATATAACAGATGTTAGACGCAATTTAATCGTTTGTATTGAACTGCATCACAAGACAATTATAAGTTTGTTGTAAAAATGCTCTTAAAATATCTCTGGAAAGTTGTCACCCTTCTGCGGCTTAGCGCTAAGTTTGAAGGCTAAGTAACTAAAACTCGGGGTGTGATCCCTTTGATGGGCACAACGGAGATAGCTCCTTGTGTAATTTTGTACTTAACAAACAATTCCGAGAAAACGGTGTTTATAAAAAATATATATATATATATATGGTTTTATTTTACGTGTTGTTTTTACAATGTACTTAGAATAAGTAGTCGAACTTGTAAGGGAAATACCCTTTCTAAACATCAGTGATTCTGTATTAAGACTAACCACCTACTCAGTTTTCCTAACACCACTCTTGATGCACTTTCAGATCAGTTTTAACATCAACATGGCAATATAAGCACAGAGCGAGCCAGATGCTAAACACACATGCTAATTTGTCACAACCAACCGCTTATGATTTACTCGAGTGGGCGGAGTCATAAAAGTTGTGATTTGGCAGCGTCAACTCATTTGCTGCTCTTCCCTCCATCACTCAAACTTCGCTAGTGTTCTTAATACGTAAAGATTTTATGATTGGCTCAGACAAGCTTCATCTCGCACCCATCCCACTCCCCCTTTCTGCTTCCTTTCTCATGAGAAACGGGGAGTGTGGATCCCTAGAACGTGTAACTACAAGATAGGTTGGCCATTCAGACGGGTGCCCGACGACCTTACTGTGTCTTTCCCGAAGTAGAACGGACATTGTGGTCGAAGTACCATCAGACGTGTAAGACAAGTCATCCAGGCCGACCTGTGCATGTGTACTACCATGTTCAAACTCTTGTCAGGGCGCCAGTGACTGATCTACCGCGCGAGCACGCAGCGTTGAATTCATGTGTATGTGTCTTAACACTCTCGTCCCTCTTTAGTTCGAACAGATAAACACTAAGCAACTAAACAACGTTTAACCACCAAACTAGCACGTAAACATCTGTACGCTTTTCTGCGTCACTCGCTGTTCGATTAGAAACGGGTAGCTTTTCGAGCTGTGGTGATCCAGGTTGTGAATTGCTTTGCCTGGACGTAAGAAATATAAGTTGATGTTCAACAAAAAAAACTTGGAGAAATTTCTGCTCTGTCTACGACAAAATGTCTTTGTTTTGAACTACTGAATTTGAGAAGGACAAGTGTTTCGAATTTTACGCGGTTTTCTTCACATACAATTATCACACAGAGGACTTTTTGGGAAAAGTTATACAAGCGAATAATGTCATGTCTTCAGTTTGGTTATAATTCTGGGCCACCTACTGCTAACAGTACCCAAGTAAGTGTTTATTTTGCTCATTTTTCTGTTTACTTTATAACTTATTTTCAATATCTATATGTACCTAGAGAATAGAGGGAAAAAACAAAGAGAATTGTACGTTTCACAAATACTTTATTACTTTGTGTGTCTTTGTTGTTGTTTTTTTTCCAATTCTTTAATTATGGTGTTTCACCAAGTACCGACGGTTTCAAGCATCAATTATATCTATCTATCTATCAATTTATAAATAGAGAGACAAAAACATTGAGTTTATTATTTCTATATTAACTCCAAATCACTAATCACAGAATACTTAATCATTTCTATATACATTTTCTAAGATATTCTCGCAATTAGTATTGGATATTTTGCACAAAAATATTTTAAAATCGTTTGTTAAGCCTAAATTATTTGCTTTGTAATCAACAATTTGAGTCATGCAAATAGTTAAATCATTTTTGTTTAAATTAAAGTCACGAATACTTAAAAATATTTATATTTAGTTCTATATAAAAAAAAATATTGTTTTATACTGATCGAAACATCAGATTTTGTTTTATTTTCCTATACTTTTGCATAATTTTACAGTAATTCCTGATCATATTAATACTTCAAAGATAAGGCAGTCTAAAGCCCATGCACTATAGTATTTCAGAGGTTATGCGTGTATAACGTTAACATTTCATAATTTGAAAAAGAAAAAAAAAAAAGAGTTGTACGCAACATTGCTATTGCCTTTGTTTAATATATCAAGTATATTCGCCTCTATTCTACCCAAGAAAATGTGTTAACATATTAATCCCAAAAAGTCTTGGCTTTTTTTACTTTTACCGTTAGTTGTGAACGTTCCAAATTCTTGAATAGCATGCGTTAAAGTGACATTTTTTGCAAGCCCCCTATTGTGTATTTATACATTTACTTTTATGGCAAAGCTACTAAAACTATTTACCGCTTTCCGTACTAACCATCTTCCACAGAGTGTGAATGTCATATTATAACGCACCTAGAGTGTTCCACAGAGAGTGAATGTCATTATTATAACGCACCTAGAGTGTTCCACAGAGAGTGAATGTCATTATTATAACGCACCTACAGTGCAGGGAATATTTTGTGGTATTGCAAAGTTTCCAACCCGGCCTGCCAGCTCTGAAAAGACAGAGCTCTACCACAGGGTCAACTCGCGCCCGTTTTCCGGTGTATTGAAACTATGTTTAAGTTATCACTTCTCTGTGAAGTTAGATCTTTGAATCTCTCTACTACTTATTACTGTTTGTGTCTACAGTTTAGGCATTTAGTGATTAGAACGTACGATTGTTCCAACATAATCTGCGTACAAGGTTACTGTTACAAATACATGTTTACCACAAACGAGAACTATAAATGTGTTTTCTGAAACGTTCGTAATGGTGTGTGCACAAGAAGGTGTTAAGCTTGTGGTTCCATTTGTCATGTGGTCTATCTGAATACCTTGGGCACAAATACAAATCTACAGACAAAAGAACTTTGAGAGGTTTAGTCACAGGGTGTTACTGTTGATGATGTCCACATGGTAGAAGCTGACTGACACCTGCTCCTTTACAATGTTGACCGTGTAGTAGCTGCTAATATTGATTGGAGGTTTGTGTCCACTTTAGTAGGTCATGTAATCAAGAAAGTTCATTGACCTCTTAAAAAACGCAGCACTTTTAACGTTTAACAACTTACAGGTGCCCAAAACAAACAAACAAACAATCTCAAGAACTTGTTAGTAAGTCGAATCCTGTTTTGTTTGTTTTTACAAAATAGTTTATATAGATTATACGCATTAACTTAAATCTATATATCAATGTTAAGCAGCTTTCAGATTCTGTTTGGAAAATAGTTTAGTAAGCATTGGACAAGCTTCTAGAGAATGTCTCCTAATCTGACAATACGTCTGAAAACAATACTTTATTCTATAAGTAATAATAATAAGGATTATATGATCAGGGACTTCAAATGGTTATGAGAGTTACACTTAGGCTGTGAATTAGAATTCTGCCTAGGTTCTAATTAATTATAAAGGTTTGAACACTACAGCCATAAATTTATGAAGAAAAAATTACCTGATGTTCGGAACCATTCCTATTCTTGGATAGCAATAACTTGTTTTTTTATAGATATTCATCTTTAGAAATATTCGTTATATTGGATGGTGTTTACCAGATTCTGAAACGTAGGTTAAGCTGTGCTTCTTTTTTACTGTTAATAGGTAAGGAGAGGTTAAAAAACTATAAAAACCAGAGAATTGCAGACAAATAATAAAGATGTTTGTGTTCCAGTTATTTATTATCATTTACATGTCAACACAATCAAACAAAGTGTTTGTTCTAGTGGTGTTTTAATTTCAAAATTCATTTTGAGGTTAAACAGGTATTAATTACACTCATTTACAGCAAATAGAGTACCTTTACTTTCTGTGGTATAATTACACTCGATTACAGCACGTAGACTATCCTTCATTTCTGTGGTATTAATTATGGTAAAAATATTCGAGTGAGTAGCATGCCCGATTTTAGCACTGGCCCAACTCAATTGGAAAATATATGAAAAATACGACAAGTCCTCTTAGAATGACACATGTAGCTGGTTTTATATAACTTGATTTTTAAACGGTAGCCAATGTCGTCCAACTTATGTTGTATTCTTCTCTAAACGTAAATGTTTCAGAAGATCCTGCTATTCATTTAACTTTTTATCAATGAAATATACAAGATTATCTGATGTAACCACATGTGTGAGACTTATACATTCTTTTCAATTAGAAATGAAATTAACGATAACCATAAACTTCGCTTTCGAAAGAAAATTGCACTTAGGTTGGTGATATGTGGGGTGATTTATATTATAAATGAGTAAATTCTTTATTCAAAAGTGGCGACTCTTTTACTTGAAGTTGGTACTAAATTAGAAATAACGAACACACTCGTAAAGATGTGCTGCCACACTACATAGCATTCTTACTTTTGTTATTTATTTTAATGACGCCTTACCCGAAGAAAGTACCAATCTGTAAGTCTCCAAGCCTTTAAAGAGAGAGTTAAAAGTTATAACATTTTTTCATCATATTTTTACTTCATTTTAGATGCTTCTGTTTCGTAGTTAGCAGATGGTGGTCGTAAAATATATTTCTTTGTTTTTGTAGTTTTGAGATATAAAAAAAAAGGTCATTGTGAAATAAACTCGATTTAAATATAAAGATTCCAAAACACTCTCAATCATTCCTATCCTCTTTTATCTTATCGCTTCTAGTGATGACGTGACAACAGCTTCTCCAAGTGAAATGTTTGGTATGAAACAGTTATTATGATTCTATTGTTTTTGTAACAGCTGCTAATGCCGGGACAACATGCAAGTGGTCACCATCACTCATCTCAGGCGGCAGGCCAGCCCTGCTGTGAATCCGGGCGTCCCGTCCTTACCGATCCGCTAACAGGACAGACTCTGTGCTCATGCCAATATGACGCCCAACTCCTCAGTTATCAGCGGCTAGCAGCAACAGGGTTGCCGCTAAATATTTACGGGACTGCCGCAGCAGCTGCAGCCGTGGCTTATGGTGGGGACCAGCCTGTTCTCTCTTTAACTCCTGAGCAAGCAGCTTTATATGCACCAACAGTAAGTTCAATGGATCATTTTATAATCTTATATTCACAAGATAATAAACTAATAAGTTTTGTAATGATTTTATATAACATATTATTTTGTATTTCGTGTGTATATGTACGATACATTAATGTCTGTAAACTCTAAGATATTAAAGTTGATCCGGTGTTTAGTTTAAATGTAACATTCTTATTTATTATTTGTTCTTTTGTGCTGGACGACGTATATAAAACGACGTATTCCAGGATTATTCGGTGACTTTTGAACATGTGCTGTTAAGATTCATTTTATTTACTTGTACAAAGAAAGCATTACAAGAAGATGTCTAACAGTAAAGTTCTGATTATCAGCCTTGAATGTTTGCAAACAGGAGAATAGGAAAGGATTAGAAGCGTAAGCAAATGTTAATCAATTAAAATAACTTGGCGAAGCGAGCTCATGTAAAGTTTGCCATTCCGTGACTGATTACGGTAATTCTGCTAGCAGCCAGTGATCAACAATGAAACAGGATTCGAGTTTGCACCATCTGTATACAAAGCGTCTCGTGACTGATAGAGTGACTCAACCAAAGAATTGGCACGCTCTTGTATGTGCTAATATCAAATACTTTTCGAGCCCATTTTTGAAACCGCTAAATTTATTTATTTCTCTTGCTTTTTTTTTTTTTCAATCTTCATTTGTTAAAAACTTAGTGACTTGTTCCGTATTTACTTAATCTATTCCAATCTACACAAGCCAGCGCGTGGTCTTTTAACATGTCTTTGAAACTGCATACATCTTGCAATTCTTGAAAATAAGTGAGATTTTGCCGCTTAGTACATGTTGGCGGCAGATTAATGATAAATATTTTCTTTATTAAACATTTAATATTCACGTACTGCAATACTGAGATATAGATCGGTTTGTCGTTTTTTTATATTTTTCTTGCAACTGTATATCATATGTGTAGTTGCGTTGAATTTTGTTCGCTGAAATAGAAGAAACGTAAAGGAAATAATTATTTAAAGTAAGTAGTTGTGAGTTAGCATGAAACACATATATATTATTATTATCCTTGTATTCTATGTTATTTACAAACAGCATAACAATGGAGGAAACTTCTGTTCATATATTCGTTTACAGTGTGAGTGATCGGTGAAACAGAACTTTCAATATATCTTACTAGTATTTAACTATACGAGTGAAATAGGTATTTAAAGAAATCGATGCCTATACGATTGTTATGATTTGCTTACACGTGACATAGCAACGCTTTCGAAGTTAGGTGTTATTAGATATTTAGTTAAAAGATGTAAGGTGTCTGTAAAATGGAAAAACATGAAATGGTTAAAGAGTAACAATATGATTTTAACCTGAATTTTGTTAAGTGAGTAATTAAATGATTTGAGGAGAAGCATGTAAAGTATATACCTGTATAAGATCCATATCTTTCAAACATTACAGTTTTACACCTATTAAATGATTTGAGGAGAATCATGTAAAGTATATACCTGTATAAGATCCATATCTTTCAAACATTACAGTTTTACATCTATTAAATGATTTGAGGAGAATCATGTAAAGTACATACCTGTATAAGATCCATATCTTTCAGCATTGCAGTTTTACACCTATTGTTTTAATTTCGATTAATGAAACGTTTTTATCGTGAAGTAATTTATTACGTCAAGAACAAAGAACACGGAATTCAGAGAGCTTTGATCTAGAATGAAATTTTCTTGCTTACACAAAACGAAGACAATAACGTGATTTTAACGTTTCGGGATTGAAAAACGGGGAATGCAAATAATTCGTACAAATCCGTAACAGCTCTAAAAGTTTAATAATTAAAATTAAGTGTAGAATAAAATAGTTATTAAATTTTACTTTAAATTTTGTGAGGAAAAACGTGAATCTATGATCGTATAACTATAGACATGTTTATAAACACAGGATTCGCCTGAGCGAAACACACCTAACAAGCTAACATATATATATATATATAATATTGTACTTTATCCCATCCAGGAACAAGTGCTCGTTTTTAAATGTTCAAACTCTAAAGTTAAACAGAAAGCGAAACTAAATTGACCAATTTGCTTCACCTGGTAGGTAGCAAAAGTCGGAGGGATAGATTAACAAGTAAATATAACTGACGTTATTCTGTTATAACCATACCTGAAGATATAGTTTTGTAAAATTTTAGTATCCTTCTGTTCCAGATCTCTGACATTGAACTTTGCGACTGCTCTGAGCAGTCAAGATTTTTAGAATGACCAGAGAAACGATACATCATCTGGCCGGAGTTAAGTAGACTGTTAGCAAGTATATAGTTGAAGCTAGTAAGAAAGTTCTAGTTTGATATGTACTACTCAAGATTTACCCATAGTAGATAAATATCTTAAACCTTAGAACAAACTCTGGCATGTAAAAAATCTTGAGAAACAGACCACATCGTCATAATTTTTAACACAGTTATGTGTGTGTGCGTATGACTGTAGATTATTCTTGTTTTTTAATATGTATATATGTATTGTTCCTTCGTTCTCATTGGCTATAATTCTTTATATATTCGTCTTAAATAATACCCTTTATTAACAAGCCAGTAACACCGGTTACTATTATTGTCAACTATTGACCAGTTTTAGAAATATCGAAAATGTTCCCAGGGGACTTATTTTTTAATTCATCAGTGTTTGTTTGAAGTTAAGCACAATGGGCTATTTGTGCTCTGCCCGGTTTCTAGCGTTGTAAGTTCACAGACATACCGCTGTACTACTGGGGGGCAATTCATCAAAGAAAAACAATAACTGATAAAAGGGATTATACATCCTTCCAGAAGTATTGGGTTCGTCATAAAATTATTTACATCTATTTTTAATTAGTTAATGTACTCTCTCTCCTTGGATTGAAATGTTACTCTCCTCTCCTCAAGGTACAATTAGCGCCATCTACCAGCCTAATTTGTACATAAATACATGAAAGAGCGTAGAAACACATTCACATTTAGGCAATAGGCATACGAATGTATTTTTGCAATAAATTCTCTTATAGGTTAAATTAGTTTAGCCTTAGATATGGTAATAGCAAGAACTATAGTTAAGGCTAGCTATTACAAAATTCATAATATTATATGTTTGACATATTGAAATATGTTCCTGATGTTAGAAAACATCTAGGTTAATAAAAATAATCAAACCCTATAACACGAGCGCTTTGTCCATCAGGGGCAAACTGTAAATGTATGATACTGTCAAATCATAGTAGTGGTTCGATTTGCAAATAAACAAACCCAACTTCCTTATCTTGATGCAAGTTCTCAGTGAAGTATGAACTTTGACAAAGCTCGCAGGTTCGCTGTCAGGGGAATTAAGATTTTAAATTTCAACAGTACTTTTGACGTACGTGGGTTAAACCGCTAGGTTAGTGACTCTTAGAACTCAAGTATAGCCGTCCATAATTTTTAACTACTAACCAGATGGGAGACGACCATCCAGTAGCAGCCGCCACTACAAAGGCTTTGTCTGATCTGTCACCTGAATAAAAGGATTGACTGACACTTTTATAACGAGCTTACAAACGAAAGTGAGAGCGTGTTCAGCGACATTACGTCTCAAACCCTGGACTCTTCGATATGCCACCTTAACTACTTAGCCATATGCAACCATCACTGTCAAATAAAATCTTAATCAATAAATGTTTACTATGTGACGAATTGAAATGAAGTTAACATTTGAGAAATCACTTATATAATCACTAAGTTTACTTATTAACAAGTAAACTTAGTAGCGCCTTGATTTGTTGTCAGGCAACACTTGGATCACGTCTGTAGAAAGGTATGAAAAATGAATAAATATTTGATGAAGTTTGTTTGTTTTGTAATTAATCACAAAGCTACACAATGGGCTATCTGTGCTGTGCCAACCACGAGCATCGAAACCCAATTTTTAGCGGTGTGGGCCCTCAAAGAGTGATTGCAGTGAAGGTGCTAATTTACATATCACTGATCATGAGGAGGATATAAATAAAAAAACAAGTGGTAGAGTGGTCGGAATACACAGAAAGGTATTTCTTCAAACATTGTAATTAATTTTTATAGTATTGTTATTGTTGACTTTATCCGTACAGAAGTAGTGTTTCATGCATATTTTAAGAATGTAAAATTACTTGTTTAGCATTGTTCATTACATTGATTGTTGTCAGTAATATGAAAATAAATGATAATATTATGAAAAACATTATTATTCTCAGTCGACTTAACAGAAATTTAAGGAATTAGGCAGCTCACGTTCCTTTCTGTTTCACACATTTAGATTGTTCTAGACGCGCGATAGAGAAAAAAAAACTGTTTTCTAAGAATACAAATAACTAAAAATAAAACAATAAGCAGCCAGGCAGTTTTCCACTCCATAATTGTTAAAAACTCGCAAACTTCCGGAGACTTTGCACTCTGGACCGTGCTGGGACTCTCAAACGGACCCCTGTCGCAGCCCGGCCTTAAATGTCCGCACCCCACCCCACACGATAAATTCTCATGATCCACGGGTGCAATTATGTAAGTCGTTCATGTATCTTCTTAAAACACTTAAAAGTAGTCATTCTTTGTTACGAATATCTCGTTAAATAAAAAATGATGTGTAATCTTTTGAAAAGTTAGCTCGAAGTTCGTGTATAAATACACGACAACGTATGTAATTGTATTCGTAAAATTCTCTGTAGATAACTATTATCAGAACATAAAATGTATTAATTTATGTGTGCTTTTTGGGTTCTAATTATTAAAGGAAAACACTCTTAGGGCTTTTTATACGACTTTTAATCAAAGTAACTGATTTTTTAAATTTTGTTTTATGTATATCAAACTCCAGTCCAATCTGATGTCAGTTTTAAATCTTGAAATCGGCTCGTCTAGTAAAAAAAAGTTTCTGGGCCTTATGCCCAAATATCGTCCTTCATCTCATCTCATCTCAACGGGATTTAGGTCTTTAGAGACCTGGCAGGGTCAAGTGCTACTTCGACCTCTTCCTCCCTCCTGAACAATTGTTAATTGTTGATTTTTTGTTTGGTTATTAGGTAAGTTGGTTGGATTTCTTTTGGTATTCTGTTGCTACTTTCATTTTCAGGGCCTTGTCCGTTTATTTTGTCTGATAATGATATTAGTTAGTATGGTTAGTGTAGTTGTGTTCTGAGAGAATTTCGTTTTTGGTATGAAATAAAGTAAAAATTGATAGTTGCGGCATACCAGAAGCAACAGATTAGTTGGCTGAAGAGTCAACCCAATAAACAAAGTTTCTTATTTCAATTCCGCCCAATATAAGATTTCACTTCTTAATTTTCTGAATGATTTGTCACCTTTAAAATTTATATAGTTATTCATCAAAGTTGCCTTACATGTTAATTTTCTTTAGATCAGGTAGGATTATTAAAAAATATATGTATGTACATTTGAATAATGATATTTCAACAATGATGTTATTTCGTAGTTTGAGACAATCTTTTTACAGTGGTTAACGTAAAATTTAGAATTGGTTGGTAAACTAGTGAATGTTCCGGAGGAGAACCTACAACATAACTTTCCTACTAATGGGAAGTAAGCATATATATAAATATAGTTTATACATCCGTGAAATATAAATTCATATTTATGTATTCAAAAGTAATGGGCACTACATTCAGTGTTTACCAAAAATGTTTGAACTTTTAAGGATTATTTTTCCCAACTGAACCAAATCTGTATATCCGACATCTGAATGAAAAATGTCAAATCGGCTATTGCACAAATATTGGGAATAAAATAAATAAAAACTTGTTATATAAAACGGAATTTACCTACGTTACATAACAGTATAAAAACAGACTTTTTTTCGAAAAGGGCAAAAAAACTTTATCAAAAATATTCAAGGTGAATTGAATAAAAAAAACAAACATTTGGTCCAAATAAGATGCATTATAGAGCATATAGTTTTTGCTAACGACATTTATACAATAAGAACATTTTATATTATAACACTTTGAAATGTGGATAGCTGTTCATAAGCAACTACAACAATGCACTAGAAACTTTATAGTATTCGATGCTCAATCTATATATAAAAAATATTAAGTTTGTTTATTTCTTTATTTTGTTCGCTATAGGAAACGAAACGGTTGAACTTACAAATTTTAAAATACCTTCATA